CGCTGAATTATACCCTAATCTTCTCCATTACTGCTAATGCTTCTACTATCTTCAACACTATAAGATTTGACCTGACAGTTGCGTCTCTGTGCTGATGTGGTAATGGCAACCTGAACTGATATATGTACGTACGAAGTTCTGCGTTATATTTGTCTGTCTGTTCTCGCGACAAAAAAAAACATTAAGATATTATCTTAATGTAAAAATTGTTGTGCATTCTTTGATCTTTAAAGTTTATTTTTACTGTTGTAAAAGAGCGTATAGATGTTCAAGTCATGGGACTATGAACATGTCTATATATATCTACGAATTGAATATTTTGGGTCTCATACGTTACCAAAAGAATAAGACAAGATAGGCTGGATGAAATAGATGTATTTGCTAACGATTTCGTGGTATCGAAACTCCGCTTGCAGCCCTTCTACGGTTACTGCCGATCCCAAGTCCAGATAAAGAATAAGGGTTGGGTATGGGTTTGGCAACCCCATCCTGTAGAAATCTAACACGCTAAAATAATACTCTTACTAGAGAACATAATTTGTTGATCGGTGGCCTATGCTCCATCAGGCGTAACAAGCATAAGTAAGTAAGTAAGTTCGTGGTATCGAAGAATCGTCGAAACACGCCAAAGAATTGGGTGACCGGAGAAAGTAGTAGACAGAGTGACCGTAGTGTAATGTCATTATATATATATATATATATATATATATATATATATATATATATATATATATATATATATATATACAAAGAGTACAAAGGTCATTGCGTATCAACAAAAGTACGAATACACAATCCAGATTTACAAGTAAAGTATTACTCAACATATTCATTCTATTATTTGTGTTTGTGTAAACCAATTATCACTGAAATCATGAGTCAATGATTGTTAGACAACACTATTAGAAACCTGGAAGTACCAAATGATGGCCATTTCGTCTTGGTATAGGACTCATCAACAGTGCGCATTCACGCCTCTGGCTACTCGCAGCGTTCAAACCCAGGATCTCCAGTCTTGCACGTGAAAGCCTAACCTCTGGATCACTGAGCTGACCTGCATCTAACGGTATTAAAGTGTAGCTCTGATCAATCTAGGGATTTTGCGCTACCCCACCAATGATTGATTTATGATGTCAGTAATAAACAACAGTTTCCTTAACTCTGAAATTCGATCTGAACGAGAGATTTTTAAAAAAAAACTTAAGGTATTAGTAACACAAATACATTGATATGTAAATAAGTATTTATATGTATTGATTGAAATCTGGAATCGATCAATGTAGGACCCAGATTAGAAACTAGGAAGTATTGGAAAACCGTTCCTTCCTAGTATAGGATTCATCAGCTTTGCGCATCCAGGATGCGTGAACCCAGGACCTTCAGTCTTACACGCGGACGCTTAATTTCTTGACCATTGATCCGGTATTCAGCGGGATTACTGTCTAAATTAAATCAATCCAAAGTATTACGCGACCTCATCTATGGTGTTCCATGGGTAACTACTACCTCATACCCAACACGCTTGAATTTGACTGATCATAACAAACGAGACCAGACATTTTGGATTGGATTACCGCTGGCCTGATCGTGGATACACAATGCTGGTGAGTCGTATACTAGGATGAAAAGGTCATCCAATAATTCCAGGTTTCCCAATGGTACTCTAACATTGATCAACTCATGATTTCAAATCAAACTCAACAATCTCCATAACCTCTACACAATGATTTATTCATGGAATAATTGTATGCTTTCAATAATATTTTCTTTAGATAGAAAAAAATACAATTGAATGATTTTAACTTGTTTTGTTTTTTACACCATTGTGCGTTTTTGGTAAACAACTTCATCTTTAATTTATTTTCAAATAATATATAATCAAAACAATGCTGGCATGAAATTGACTGTCATGTTATTTAATTTTCACGTGTTCATCACATTTGTATCATTTTTCAAGTATGATTCTCAAATATATTAACACTAAAAATTGTGTGCAGTTTATAGATTGATCATTTTCTTTGAGTTGTGATCTATTTTTCTTCTGATTGTTGTCCATCTATAAGTAATTTATATTCATCCAATATCCTAAGAGAATTATTGGTCAAATCCTATTGGTTGATTTCTGTTGGTTAAAAATTATGCTCGTTTTAAATGTCAAAGTCAAATACTTCAATGTTGTCGCTTATTGGTCATCTGGACTGTCAATGTCATTTGAAATGTTACTTCTCATTGGTCGTGTTAACTGTCAATGCCACAGAATTCGATGCTGTTTCTTATTCGACCAAAATGTATAAATATGCATTATCTGTAACATTTTATGACCACGACCAGGACCAGGGCTTGGTCCCGGATTCTAGTCCGGGATCCTGATTCTCCTCTGGATTGGGACCTCGTACTTTCTGGATGCTTGTAGAATACAGGTTCTACTTCATATCATGTCTTCTTATTTTCACTGAATATAGGGGTTAGGATAATCAGATTTGAATAGCATGTCGTGTCACCGGATCCTCGACCCTCGCTCTCGTTTACCGACCAGGTAAACTCGTAATAGTTCAAGTATATCAAGTTGACGTTGTTACGTGCAGGCGTAACAGATTCGAATTCAGAAACTTTTGCTTTGCGCGCAAACGCCTAACCACCTCTGGACCACTGAGCCAACCGGTACTTAACGGTGTTAACGTCTAACTGTGATCACTCCGCGTTCTTGCTTAACCTCATCCAGTGTTTTCAGTGTACAAAGCTTCCCACCTCAACATGGTTGAACACCACTGTTTACCACTTCTCGCTAGAACTACTTACTTACGCCTGTTACCCCCAATGGCGCATAGGCCGCCCACCAGATTTCTCCAATCAACTCTGTCCTGGGCTTCCCTTTCCAGTTCTGTCCAATGTTTGTTCATTCCTCTCATATCTTTCTCTATTTCTCGGTGTAGTGTTTTCCTTGGCCTTCCTCTTTTCCTTTGGCCTTGAGGGTTCCATGTGAGGGCTTGTCTCGTGATGCAGTTAGGTGCTTTTCGTAGTGTGTGTCCTATCCACTTCCTACGGATTTCCTCCTCCACTGGAATCTGGTTTGTTTTCTCCCACAGTTCGTTGTTGCTGATGTGGTGTCTGGCCAACGAATCCGAAGTATTTTGCGTAGACAACTGTTGAAAAACACTTGTATCTTCTGGATGATGGCTTTCATAGTTCTCCACGTTACCGCTCCATACAGTAGAACTGTCTTGATATTTGTATTGAAAATCCTGATTTTGGTGTTGATTCATATTTGTTTGGAGTTCCAAATATTTTTCAACTGTAGCAATGCAGCACTTGCTTTGCCAATCCACACCCTCACATCTGCATCGGATCCACCTTGATTGTCGATGATGCTGCCAAGATATGTAAAGGTGTTAACGTCCTTCAAGGCAGCATCTCCATCAAGAGTCATTTAGTTGGTGCATGTTGTGTTGCATCGGAGAATTTTGGTTTTTCCTTTATGTATTTTGAGACCTACTGCTGCTACACTGGTCGTCTTCTTTTGCACTTGTTGTTGCATATGCGATAGAAGAGCCAGGTTATCTGCGAAGTCCAGATCATCCATCTACATGCTGGCTGTCCATTTGATACCGTGCTTCCCTCCAGATGTCGACGTCTTCATAATCCAGTCGATCAACAGGGGAAAGAGAAAGGGTGAGGGTAAGCACCGTCGGATACACTTCCTCACTAGTGAACAAACACATGTAACTGGCATTTGGGAGTTGTGGAGATTGTTGAGTTACTTTATGAATTTATAAATATATATATATATATATATATATATATATACACTAACTACATTACATTGTTGATAATCACATTGATATTTGAACTGATCGTTTGCAATGACGTAAATGCATCTATTGTTTGTGTTCTCGCAAATTCTATGTTCCTAAATACCTTGAGTGGATTATACTTCTTAAATAATTTCCTGAAACCCTAATCTTCTCCATTACCGCTAATACTTCTACTACTATGGTATTTAAATTGACAATAGTATCTCTGTCCTAATGTAATATGACAACTTGAATGGATGTACGTACGTACGTACGAAGTTCTACGTTGCAACTGACTGACTGCTGGACATCGTCAAGTTAGCAACCCCTATCTCGTACAAACCAACTTACTACAAAGATCACTAACCAGAAGTAGTAGTAATACTCAATTCTCCTGAATCCTTTCCACGCTTTCCGCTAGTTTCAAGTCTGGATAAGGACAGATTGTTGGACATGGTAGTATTGACAACCTCCCCATCTCGTCGTAGAACGTCAACACACGAGAATAAAAAAACTACTAATCAAAAGTCATACTGTAGTGAACGAGAACACAGGTGGGGCAACCGAATTGTATTTAACGAAAATTACAGAGTTAATCACTCAGTAAAATCGGAAAACCATATCGTAAATCGTTCATTTACAAAATATCAGTTCATCATATCGAACTGGACTGTTCCTGTTGCAAACAACATCAATCCATTGTCACTCACTATTCATGCGTTTCATACAAATTCCATTGTGTGTTCCCACTCTTCCTTTCTTGATCTTCCCCCATATTATGCTGCCAGACATTTCGTTTACGCTCTCGTCATATACTACTTATAAGTTGCGCGCACCACAATACTAATAGTGTATTAATATTCATGATTCAAAAAAATTTTTTATTCTAATTTATTTATTAAAACAAATTGTTTTGAAAAGTGTTAAAACCATAGAATTAATTTTCATAAATATATATATATCATTCATCATTAGAAAGTATACAATTGTGTGCATGCATTTTGCAAATATTATTATTGTTCAAATAGAAGAAAGAGGCTGACAAAGAAATACGATCTACTAATATTACTCAATAATAATCAATAGTACAATACAATTTTTTATTAACAACAAAAAATGTACTACTAATAGTACTTACATTCATACTAATAGTAACATTAATAAGAATAATAATTGTAACTTCTAAACTAGAAAAAAACATGTTCAAAACATAAAGAATTATGTAAGTTTTCATATGTTCATTCTTTAAATTACTCAGTATTTTCAATTTTAAAATATTGTCACATAATAAAATGATCAACCTTGGTCAAAATCATTTAAAATTTTTAATAAAACAATGAGTGAGATATGCGTGTGTCTGTCTATCTGCGTGTATATGTGCGTTTGTGTGTGTGTGTGCGTATGAGTAAGTGCATGTATTGATTTTTTTCTATAGATCTATAGCTATGTATATATACAAATAGAAAGTTGGGATAGAAGACAAATAAAAACACACCTGTGATATGCCTAATTATTTTTAAACAGACACACACATACACATCAACTCAATCATCTAAAATGGATGATTCATTTACAATCACTAATCGACTTGTTTGATTGGTTGGTTGGTTGGTTGATGGTGGTCTCTTTTTTTTAATAATAAAAAATCAATAAGATTTTAAACATGGCGGTACCTTAACAAATGGATCATAGAGCAGAGTAATCATAACAATCTTTGTCATACAAAATGTGTGCTTTTTTCACGTTTTACATTGTGTTAAAATATTGAGTTTTGTTGAATCGGTTAACATGATTGATGTTGTCGATTTGACTGATGTTATTGACGATGACGACGACGAGGTTGTTGTTGCTGACGTGGAGGAGAAGGAGGAAGATACTGTGGGTGTAGTGGTATTAGTTATCATTGTTGATGATAAAGGTGTTGTTAAACGAGGAGATGGTGATGATGATGACGACGAAGCTGATGATGGCGATGACCAGTGTTCTATGTTGTAATCATCAGACAATCTACAATTTAAATCTCTTTCTTGTTCATTATGTTCACATGATGGATGAGTTGATTTCAGTTCATGTTGTTGATAATTTTGGTCATCATGATGATGACGATGATGAGGATGATGCGATTTCGGATTCAATGTTTCAATATTTTTTGAAGGTGAACACGAAGAAGAAGAAGAAGAAGAAGAAGCAGGAGAAGAACAACAACAAGAATGTGTAGATGATTTTGAATGATGTGTACTGCATACAATCGATTCATATTGTTCATCTGTTTGAGATGGTGAATGAATAAAATCATTTCTTATTTTTGTGAATAATTTTGATGAACAATGACTATTATTACTATGATTATTATTATTATTATTATTATCTACTGTTGATAAATGTTCCATTTCTTGTTCTGATATTGTTGGTGAAAAACAATTTGAATTCAATGTTTCAATAGTTACTCTGTCATTTTCTTTGTTTACATTGATTTCGCTTCCTTCTTCTACTTCTTCGTCTTCTTCCCCATCATTATGAGTATAATTGTCAATATCAACTTTATTATCAATGGTGTCAATTGATGTCACATTGAATCGAAACTGTTCTTGTTCAAATTGGTCACGTGAACATTGAACACTGTCATTCACATTATTATTATTATTATTATTATTATTATTATTATTATTATTATTATTATTATACTTTTCATTAATAGTCAACAAATTCTCTTTCAATGTTTGTTGAAATAAATTTGAATTTAAATTTTGTATAATATTTGGCAATGAAATGGATGCATTCAATAATGAATGACAAGTTAAACTATACTCGTCAATAGTTGATGTTGCTAATGGTATTGTTGTATTTGTTGTTGTTGTTGTATTCATGGTTGTCGTTGTAGCGGAAGAGTAGCAAGATGATGATGTTGATGATGATGACAATGGTGATGAAAATAGAAAAGGCAAAAAATTGAATAAATTCGATGGAATTAAATTAGTATTGGACATTGAATGTGTAAGATTATTTAAATAGTGATTATTATTATTATTATTATTATTATTTTGTGATTGTATTTGATAAATATCACGATAATTTGATAAAATTTGACTAGAATAATTTGTAATTAACTTTTGTGAATCTTTTATTGGATTTGTGATTGATGAATTGGTTGTTTGTAATTTCGGCACATTGGATAACACTGGTATTGGTTCTTTTGATGGTTTCAAACCAAGTGAACGTGGTATACGTGATAATAATTGTGATCCAGCAGCATTGGTTTTAAACCAACTGATTGAACGTGAGGCATGTTGTTGTTGTTGTTCCCAATTGGTATCTGGACATAAATAGAATGGTTCAGAAACACCACGAGCTTCTAATGGTCTCAGATTGGCGTAGATTTCAAATAATTCTACACAATTAAATGGAAGTGGTTGACGTTTTGCACTACCAGTACAACTTAGAGGTTGTGTTTTAGCCAGTGGATCATGATTCGGTGCACCACTACCACCACCTCGTGTTCCACCATAACCACGACAATATCGTACTTCAGCAGATTCAAATAATGGTGTGAATTTAATGGCTTTTATACCATTATCATCAGTGATCAGTTGAAATTGACCCCAAACTAAATTACGATGTCTTTGTGTACCGCCAATATTGAATTGTGTACGATTCATAAGCCATAAACTATTTAATATTGCCTAAAATGTAAAAAAAAAGTATTTTTTTAAAAAGTTGATTCGGGAAATTTCTTTTATGGACATATTTTATATTTTAACTTGTTGTTAATGTCTAAAAAATTCAATTCCCCTTGGTATAAGTTTATTCTGAATATATTACTTGGTGATTTCGGGCAAAATCCTTAGATTGATCAGAAATAGACATTTGTAACGCATTTGAAACCTAACTCTATCAACTTCCAGTTTCGTTTATTAGTTTGTCTTAATCTCACGCTGGCTTTTCATATCTGGTTGCTGTCTCTTTATTCGTATATTGCATGTGCTTGCTGAGTCGTCGGTTCATCTTTTTCTCTTGTTCTTTCTTCCTCCAGATAATCTCATACGCTGCTCCTCACATACCCCCCCCCAGCACACAAGGTACCTTCGGGTTAAACGCAAACCAACCAAAGGCTCATCCGATCCCCCACGACGGTTGTGTTACTTAACCCGCAACGACCTCAGGATGATGTAATAACGGTGCACTACAGTCAAATAAAGCCAGATCGAACAACAGTACCTGCTGATGCTCGGTTCACAGATCCACCACCTGCTACTAGTTTTTTATGAGATACCGGCTCAAGGAGGAGCAGTATATCCTTGTCCGAGACCGGGCACTGAGGACAGTGACTCATTAGGAGAGGAGGTGGTGTAACGGAGTCAAAATCACTATGTATGATGTTGCTAACCCGTTCTGTTTTCTTTCTATTTCAGAGCGATCAAACACAAACGCTTTGGAAGCTGAAGAACAAGCCCTGAGTGCTCTGAACTTACAGGATGACTCATAAGACTTTGGTACACTACCCACCCTATTTCTTTAAAACTAACCCGCGTATTTAATTTTCGAATAAAAGAGTGCCGTGACAACCACTTCGTGTTCTCTCTTGGTGTGAGGTGTTAAACTAACCTTGTGTGTTGTGATTTTAGATCCGCCCTTCAGTGACTGCTGATTACACTTGTTACACATTAACACCAATGGATCTCGGCTGACTAAGTGATCCAGAGATTAGGCGCTCGCTCGCGCAAGACCGAAAGTCTTGGGCTCGTTTTCGGTGAGTGGTAATCGAGGATATGCACTGCTGATGAGTTCCACACTAGAAAGAAACTACCGTCCGTGGTTTCCAGGTTTCGAATAGTGGTCTTACATGGATTGATTCATGACTTAAACTAGTATAAAAACCTACAACAATAAGGTTTCATTCCCCACTGGCTTTAGTAAGATTCAATACATTTAATTTGGAATTTCAAATATCACCTATGAATATTATCTTGACCGCTGGTGGGATGACAGTAAGAACAAATATATATACATGCTACTTTAAAGATAAAACACCTGTACGCAAACAACTCTGTAATAGGTTGTTGATTTATTCATTTTTTGACTGATTGGTTGTGAACTAAATAAATTCTGTGTTAATTTTATATAACAACAAAAAATTGGACAAAACTGAAAGTTTCAAATTACATTACATTGTTAGTTATATATGAATGAATATCAAATGTTTGCAGTTTATTTATAAGATAGTTTGTAGTAGAAGTAGTAGTAGTAGTGTGGTGTGAGCTACTTATAAGTAGTATATGACGTGAGTGTAAACGTAATGTCTGGCAGCAGAAGATGGGCGGAACGATCAAGAAAGGAAGAGTTAGAAAACAATGGAATTTGTATGAAACACATGAATAGTGAGTGACAATGGATTGATGTTTTGCAACAGGAGCAGTCCAGTTTGATATGATGAACTGATATTTTGCAAATGAACGATTCACGATATGGTTTTCCGATTTTACTGAGTAACTCTGTAATTTTCGTTAAATACAATCCGGTTGCCCCGCCTGAGTTCTCGTTCACTACAGTAGTAGTAGTAGTAGTAGTCGTAATAGTAGTAGTAGTAATGCAGCAGTGATGCGTGTAAGAAACATTTTAAACAGTTTGTCTTTTTTTTTAAGATTGTTTCATAATGCACATGAAATCTCGTATTATGGCCACTAAAGTGAATTTTTCGAAAGTGTGAGCAAAGTTTCCCGAATCCAAGGATTTGACAGTAAAATATTTCTCTGTGAAAAGATGATTGAACCGCTAAATAGAAAGTTTAAACTTTACTCCATATACTGTGGTTTGAGCAGTCAAATAGTACAACTTCTTCTTACACTTACATTGTGAGTTGAAGTACACGAACTTGCACTAAGCGGATGAAATGACTTCATAACCGCATTGTAAATGGCCTGTAAAGCTTGAAGCGCTTAGATTTGACCTGTAATAGGATTGGGTAATATACATGGTTACTCAAGTATAATGTTATCCCTCGTGGAGCATAAGCCACCAACCAGCAATCTCCAATTAACTATGTCCGTGGGTCTCCTTTCTAGCTGTCGCATCTTGATGTTTATTCTTCTGATGTATGCCTCCAATTCCCGTATCTATGTGTTCTTTGGTCTACAAGGATTCTTAGTTAAGGTTTGCCTCATGACATAGTTAGGTGATTTCCGTGATGTATATCCTACCCATCTCCTGCGTCTTCTCCTAGTTTGTTCCTCAGCTGGAATCTGGTTTTTTCTCTCCCACAGAAGCTTGTTACTGATGGTGTCTAGACAACGGATCCGAAGTATTTCGCGTAGACAATTTTTAATGAATAATTGAATATTCTGGATGATGACTTTCTCAAAGTTTTTGCTCCATATATTCAAACTGTCTTAACATTTGTATTGAAAGTTCTGATTTTCGTGTTTGTTGACAGTTGTTCTGAGTTCCAGATGTTCTTCAGTTGTAGAAATGAAGCCCTTGCTTTGCCAATCTGAGCCCTCACATCTTCTTTGGATCCATCTTGATTGTCGATGATGCTGCCCAGATATGTAAAGGTTTTTACGTCCTCCAAAGCTTGTCCACCTAGTGTGATTCGGTGGGCACATGTTGTGCTGCATCGGAGAATCTTGCTTATCCCTTTGTGTATGTTGAGACCTACTGATACTGAGACTGCTGCTACCGGAAGTGGATAAGACACATATTGAGGAAAACATCCAACTGTGTCATAAGACAAGCTCTCACTTGGAACTCTCAAGGACAAAGGAAAAGAGGAAGGCCAAGGAACATACCACGCCGAGAAATAGAGAAAGATATGAGAAGAATGAACAAAAATTGAACAGAAGTGGAAAGGGAAGCCCTAGGACAAAGTAGTTAGGAGAATGCTAGTCTGCAACCTATGTATTATTGGTGGTAACAAGCGTAAATAAGTAAGTAAGTAAGTAATCAAGCATTTAAGTAAGTAAATAAGTAAGTAAGTAATTTCTTTTCTTACCTGAGGATTCTCTGTACCCAGTATACCAGCTTGAAGTAATTCCGCTGATGATAATCCATTCGGATTGGAATGATACTTTCTAGTATAATTTATCGATCGATTTTCCAATGATGAGTCATTATCAACACCAGATGATAAACGTTTGTTAGTATTATTGTGATTAGGATTAGTTCCATTTGATGAGTAAGCATGTATATTACTACTAGTACCACCACTACTGCTATTATTATTATTGATTGGTATACCAGATCGACTAAGTGCACGTAATTCATTTAAACGTTGATTCAACACAGATCGTGTTCCAGCAAATGCATTACCTTTCAATACGGAATGTGAATAACCATGATGCTAAATATAGATTGTTTTGTTTTTTAAATAGAGAGAAAAAAATAAGGATTAGAAATGAACAAGAATTATGAAATTGTTTAAATATTGTATTCTATATATAAATTGAACAATGAATATAACTTTGAAAAAAAATGTTGATTAATCATTGAACTTCTTATAATCAATCAGTTCACTCAAAAACTCTATGCCTTATTAGAGAGTTCAAGTATCTTTACAGAGTGACTGAGTGAGTGAGTGAGCGAGTGAGTGAGTGAGTGATCATTTCAATGACACTGAATAAAAATTATTTACATGCTCGTCAAATGATATGCTTGAAATCATTACGAGTTCTAACACATTTGAAATCATCAATCAACCAATCATTGTTAGACAGACCACCATTAGAAACCTGCAAGCACTTTAAGACGGTCGTTTCGTCCTAGCATGGGACTCATCAGAGGCAATGCGCATCCATGATCCCTGCATCTCGCAGGATTCGAACCCGGGACCTTCGTTATTGTGCGCGAACGCCTAACCATCGGACTACGGGGCCGGCATCCAACGGTTCAACCCTGTCTGGTGTAGGCAGTAACTACCAAAGATAATTAAGGGTGAGGTCGCGCAAAATCCGTAGATCAATCAGAGTTAGACATTAACACCGTTGGTTGCTGGCCGGCTCAGTGGTCCAATGGTAGGGCGTTCGCCTACAATGCCGAAGGTTCCGGGTTTGAATCCTGTGGGGTGCAGGAATTAGCGTGGATGTACACTGCCAATGATGAGTAGTCCTATACCAGAATGAAACGACCATCTTTCAGTGCTTCCAGGTTTCTAATGGTGGTGGTCTAACAATGATTATTGATTGATGATTTCACATGTGTAAAAACACAAATCTCCAAAACTCTGACCGAAAATATTACGAGTTCACCTTACTCGGTAAACGAACAGAAGCAATGATTCATTGACACGATAGACTATTCTAATCTCATTGTCCCAGGTGTTGCTAACTAAAGCAAGAAGTTTTGATAAAGCGTAGAGAATGTATTTTACTAGCACGCAGAAAATACGAAGTTGCTAAACACAGTGATAGCAACGCTCTTGGTGAGGCCACAAGATAGCATACTAAAAATAATTCATCAACCAATGACAGTCAAGAATTTTCCTAGTGAGAAACGTGAGCTCAAGGTCAACTCAGCGACTTATGCGCGATAACATAAAAAAGTCCAAAATTAGGACCCTTCCCAAGTGAGTTGATGGGGATCTAACGTCCCCAACAATTAAAGATCACACAGTTTTTTCGGAAAAATTGATTCAAAGTTCACATTCCATCATTGAACCAATTATGTGTTTGTCGCTAAGCAATGAAATCTTAGAGAGTACATTATCGTCAAAGAGGCTATGGGCGTATATTATTTATAGATTCCAATTGAGATTAAACAAGTCATCACATGATCGAAGATAATGGATGTGGACACACAATGTCATTATGGTTCGATTAATTGGATGCCAGCTCAGTTCAGTAATGTAGAGGTTAAGCATGCACGCTAAAGATCGAAGATCCTAGTGTGGTGTGAGCTACTTATAAGTAGTATATGATGTGAGTGTCAGTCAACGTAATGTCTGGCAGCAGAAGATGGGGGAAGATCAAGGAAGGAAGAGCGGAGAACACAATGGAATTTGTATGAAACTCATGAATAGTGAATGACAATGGATTGATGTTGTTTGCAACAGGAACAGTCCAGTTCGATGGATTGATGAACTGATATTTTGCAAATGAACGATTTACGATATGGTTAACCTATTTTACTGAGTGAGTAACCCTGTAATTTTCGTTAAATACAATTCAGTTGCCCTCACCACCTGAGATGGATGATGAGTCCAAGCATTGCTCATTGCCACTGATGGATGAGTAGTAGTAGTAGTCGCATAGACCAGGAGGAAACGATCATCTTTCAATGCTTCCAAGTAGTTGTATGGTCTATAAACAATGATTCATACATGATTTCCATGTACATTTTTCAATTATCATCTTCCATCTTAAATAACTTCAAATAAATGACACCTGATTTATTTCAATTTGCTTTTTTATTTTCCAACTATAGTATCAACAGTATCAATATGATGCATTTAATCGGATCAGTTTACAAAAAAATGTATCAAGAATATTTTCATATTAATATTATTATGATTATCAAGCTTATACAAGAAATGATACATTTTAGTTAGTGTACTTGTGTGTTCTTCCATCCATCCATGGCTTTATGATGATATCCATATATTCTCTCTGTCACTCTATGAATTTGTGCGTGCTATATGAGTTCTTTGTATGCACAAGTGAGTGTGTGTATGTATGCATTGCATCAGAGTAGTTGAAGTGAATTACAATGGTAAGCGAATAGTTACACAAGTTACTACATATCAGATAATCATAATTACAAAAAGATCCATATGGATTACATAACAGAGAGATTACATTTCAATGTGTATCAATTCATTTATCATAGTGTATGTATCGAAAGTTTTTAATAAAAAAAAAAGATGCAGAGAAATTTAAGTCGATTTTTTGATTTTCTTTTAAATGATTCGCAAACAAAGTCAGTCAATTAATTTTAATTCGATTTGAGAAAAAAAAAAATTAAAACCAAACAACCATTGTTGAACTCAGTCAGTCAACCAGTCAGTCAGATGCAACATAGAACTTCGTATGTACATAAGTACATCAGTTCATGTCGCCATACCACATTAGCACATAGAGATGTCATTGTCAATTCAAATCCAATAGTAGTAGTAGAGGTAGTAAAGGTATTAGAAGTAATCGGAGAGGTTAGGATGAGAAGATATTATTCAAGAAGTATGATTCAGTGAGAAAAGTTTAGAAAGTCAATATTAGAGGTGTTTGAATAATCCAGAAGATTAGGATTTGAGAGAACACAACGCATAAATTGCACCGGCGTCATTCAAGGTATCTAACCATCGATTATTATCATCTCGTGGACCCCAACCAGGTAGTCGACAACTACCGACATGACTCTGTCCACTTGTCAGTGACACTTCATGGATTTGTACCATGTTTTTGGTTTGGTCACCCCTAACTTTTTTTCCAACATACTCCTACACTACAAAACAAAGCTCTTCGAGGCATTCGGTGGTTCCATTGTTGAACTACTGAATATTTCTTAATATCTATGATTAATTATATCAACCGATATTGAGTCTAGAATGTATGCGTCTTGTCAAGATTCAATGGCTGACATGTTCAACTGTTAATGGCAGTCAATGATTATTGAATTAACGATTCGTTTTATAGTTGAATTTATATATTTTCAACTATTTATCTAATAATTATAATGTTTTTTACACATTTGAAATCTTCAGTCAATCATTGTTAGACAGACCACCATTAGAAACCTGGAAGTACTGTAAGACGGCCATTTCGTCCTGGTATGGGACTCATCAGTGGCAGTGTGTATCCACGACTCCTGCATCTAGAAGGATTCAAACCCGAGACCTTCGGCGGTGTGCGCAAACGCCAAACAATCGGACTACTGGCCTGGCATCCAACGGTGTTTATGTCTAACTCTGATTGATCTAAGGATTTTGTGCACAGTAACGAAGGTCCCGGGTTCGAATCCTGCGAGGTGCAGGAGTCATGGATGCACACTGTCTCTGATGAGTCCCATACCAGGACGAAACGGCTGTCCAGTGCTTCCAGGTTTCTAATGGTGCCTCTAACAATGATTGATGGATGATTTAAAATGGGTAAAAACACAAATCTCCAAAACTCTAACTGAAAATAACAATAATGTGTTTGGAAGAAAGTTAGGGGTGGCCAAACCAAAACATGGTACAAATCTATGAAGTGTCACTGACAAGTGGACTGAGTCATACTGATAGATATAGACCACCAGGTTGGGGTCCGCGAGACGAATGTCGCCGATGGTTAGAGACCTTGAATGACATGGCTCAAAAACCGTCTGCAATGGCGCCGCAGGTGTATACATTTATTGTGTTCTCTCAAGTCCTAACCTTCTGAATTCCCTATCACTTCTATCTTTCTGTTTCTAAACTTATCTCGCTTAATTATACTTCTTGAATAATATCTTCGAACCCTAATCTTTCCGATTAATGGTGATATTTTTACTAACTCTACCACAATGGGATTTGAATTAACAATTGCATTTCTATGCTAATGTAGTATGACATTCTGAACTGATCTAATTACGTACGAAGTTCTACTTTATAACTGACTGACTGACTAACTGACTGAATGTGTTTATTACTATCAAAGTCAAAAATGATATTAGAAATTTAGAGGAGAATGATAACAATTCATTACTACTCATTAAAGTCATCAATCAATCATTCTTAGACCACTATCATTAGAAACAAACCTATGAAGCACTGAAAGACAGCAGCCGTTTCGTCCTAGTGTATGAAACTATTCATCAGTAGCAGGCGCCTATCCACAACTCCTACACCTTGCAGGATTCAAAACCCAGGACATTTGAACTAATTATTCATTTTCAACTTCATCGTAAATTGTATTTTAATAAAATGTTTAAAACAAGTTACATTATGATAAAATGACTTGAACATAATACACCGATTTATCCTAATTTTTTTTTAGTAAATTCATGTAATCAAACAAACGCACACAAACACACATACAAGCACACCTATACACTATTGATTCACGACTTTGTAACAGCACTTTCTAATTTCTGATAAACATTTTTTTTAATAATCAATCTATGTAAATATATATATATATAATGTAATGTGAATAATTATTACATTGAATCACTAAATAAATACAATTTTGATTTGTACTGCTGACCTAAATTTTGACTAACACACTAATTTCATCCTTTTCCACAGTGTGAATTCAACCAACCAATCAATTAATCTATCTGTTTTTATGTGTATGTCTGTGTTCAAGATATATATTTATGTCTGTCTTCATACTTGGTAAGAAAGAGCACATGTTTTTCAGTTTGGATGTGTCTATGTATCAATAATGTCTATTCAATGATTGGTTGGTTGGTTGGTTGGTTTGTCTATCTATCTATCTAACTTATTATTTACACAGATAAATATAACAACCACATGGATTTATTTACATATTTAAGAAATTGTGCATTTTAACATGATTATTATTATGATCATTATTTTTTAAAATATTTTTTTAGATCAAGGTAATTGCTAATAGAGAGAGATTCATTTCTTTTTAATTCTGTAAGACAAATTAATATGATTCCAATAACAACAATGTGATTGTTGCTAAAATTCAATTACACACATATTTATATTACATGCAAAATGTTGTATTTCCATGTGTGATTGTGTGATTGTGTGTGTGTGTGTGCGCGTTTATGAAATGCATAATTTGCAAGGAAGGAAGGAAGGTAAGAAACCGAAACAAAATAGAAGAATAAAACAAATCAAATAAAAATAATGATTTTGTTGTTGTTGTTAAGTAACACAGAATTCATTGATCATTGCTATTTTTGAAAAAAGCAATCACTTGGTTTTATAGAGATTGTTTTAATTGATTCATGATTTCCAGCGCGGAAAGCAAAATCAATAAAATGTGCTTATTAGTGATTAGCTAGTCAGAGATTATGACCAATGGAGTTCAACCTTATCGAGTGTAGAGGTAGGTTATCTACCGAAGACAATAGGTAAGGTTGTGCAAAATCGTTAGAATAATTGAATAGCGTTGGATGCCGGCTGGTTCAGTGGTCTAGAGGTTAAGCGTTCTCATACTGTAGTGAATGAGAACACAGGTGGGGCAACCGAATTGTATTTAACGAAAATTACAGAGTTACTCAGTAAAATCGGAAAACCATATCGTAAATCGTTCATTTGCAAAAGATCAGTTCATCCTATGGAACTGGACTGTTTCTGATGCCAAACATCAATCCATTGTCACTATTCATGCGTTTGATACAGATTCCATTGTTTTCTAACTCTGCCTTTCTTGATCTACCCCCCATATTATGCTACCAGACATTTCGTTGACACTCACGTTATATACTACTTATAAGTAGTTCGCACCACAGCACCACAATATGAGATCGAAGGTCCTTGGTTCGAATCCCCACTAGCAGGTATCGTGAATGCGCACTTCTGAAGAGTCCCATATTAGGGTGAGCCGGTCATCCAGGTTTCTATTAGTGATCGGACACGGATTGATTCACTGTTTCATAGTAAAATAATATCCTATTTTGATAGTTTAGTCAATGAATACAGATAGTGATTTGAGTATTAGGAAGAAACTCTTTATAGTTGACTTATAGGTTCATTTTACTCTGTTAGGATATTCATCAAATATCCTAAAAGAATTATTTTTGTAAGTCTAATTCTATTGGTCGATACCTACTGGTCAATATTATGATCGTCCTAGATATCAATGTCACGTACTTCGATGCTGTTTCTTATTGGTCGTCCTGACTATCAGTGTCACTTCAAATGTTGTTTCCTATTAGTCGTCTTAACTAGGAATGTCACAGACTTCAATGTTGTTTCCTATTCGACCAAAATGTATAAATACGCATTATCTGTAGCGTTTAGTGGACTGAACCCGGATTTCTAGTCCGGGATCCTGATTCTCTTCTGGATTCGGACCTCGTACTTTCTGGATGCTTGTAGAATACACGTCCTACTTCATATTAAGTCTTCTTCTTTTATTCAATGGGGGTTGGGGTCAGTCGAATTGAAGTAGCATATCGTGTTGCCGGATCCTCGATCCTCGCTCTCGTTTTCCGACTAAAGTAAATTCGTAATAGTTCAAGTATATCAAGTTGACGTGTTTACGTTGAGGCATTGAGTTCCAGTATAATCATCCGTTGATCATTAGTAGACTTTTAGTGGCAACTCATAAGCACTGGACAACTGTTTTTTCCTAGTACAGGCGACTCCATCGGCAGTGCTTATCCATGAACCTTTATAGAAGAACATCACATTTTTGAGCTCGTATGCTTATGTATATGTATGCTTGGACAATACTTACCACCTACACATATAGTTATTTGACTAGCTTTATCGATTAACAGTTTAAATAATTCGATAACGATATCGACTATATATATATATATATATTACACGGAATTTCGAAGATAAAGATGAGTCCAACGCCACATCTTCACTTGTAAGAATCGAATGCAGGACCTTTGATCTCTCACACACATAAGAACACTTAACTTCCAGATCATTGAACTGACATCCAGAGTGATGTTCACGCTTAACTTTATATTAAAAATTAATACATTTGTTCTTGATAAAAATTATTCACTATACATATACATATTCACAATTATATAAGTTAACCCTGTATTGCCAAGGGCAATTTTACATTGGTTTTTCAGGAGAACCAAAGAGACTGGACACGTTTTACCGTTACTACATGGACAGTTCGGCTTAATCCTGTGGTGCAAACACACAGGAGGTACCTGATACCCTGGTGAACCATTCACACCATTTCATATACACACAATGGTATATATATATATATTTCCGATCCATGATCGCGTCAATCAATATGCACTGCATGAACAGGACAATTTGACCCATCCCTCCTACATGACTGTCAAACTCATTATTATTATTAGCAATGGTGATATGTAATGCAGAACCCCAATGACAATGGCCCTCAGGAATGTCTCAAAACAACCACCTATATCAATGAAATCGGTCACCCTGCAAACCACTTTTGTATATGGACTGTTAACAATGCTTACCAAAGCAAAGTCTAACCATCCACAATATTCACAGAGAGCCTCTAGTCTTATAGGAGACCTTCAGCTCTATATAGCAGTATAGCATATGGTGTACACATATCTGACGTGAGATAGTAGAAGAGGCAGCCCAGTTTAATGCAAATAGGCCCAAACACTCTTATATTACCCTTTGTCTCATGTTGGGCAATGACTGTTTCTTCTCGTTTCCGAAAGTTTCATTTTTCGACCATATGAGGAGACCTGAGTTAAAGGGTAGTAATCCCTACATATACATATAAATAATAATCAATAACTGATGTATTACTCACTTTTAAATGTCTTTCCAATGAATGTACAAAAGCTTTCAATGATTCCGGTTCATATTCATGTCCATCTTTCTTTTTTGCAGTCAAGACAAAATCCTAAAAATATATAGAATAGAGAGAAATCATACAAATTAACTAAAAATCAATATTATTTGTTATAATGTCGGGAAATATTGAAGTTCAGATAGATAGATAATGTTTATGATAGAGTTTTGTTTTTTGAATTAGGAATCAATGTGAGAAATGGTCGTTTGGTCTAGGTGTGGTGTGAGCTACTTATAAGTAGTATATGACGTGAGTGTCAACGTAATATCTGGCAGCATAATATGAGGGAAGATCGAGAAAGGAAGTGGGAACACAATGGAATTTGTATGAAACGCATGAATAGTGAGTAACAATGGATTTATGTTTTGCAACAGGAACAGTCCAGTTCGATATGATGAACTGATATTTTGCAAATTAACGATTTACGATATGGTTTTCCGATTTTACTGAGTGAGTAACTCTGTAATTTGAAATAAATACAATCTGGTTGCCCCACCTGTGTTGTCGTTCACTAAACAGGTATGGAACTTATCAGTAGTGAGCATTCATGACCTCCACTCACAAAATTCAAACCGAGGACCTGTGGACCATCTTGGAGTCCTTCTAGGGTTACTATCGGTTCCAAGCCCAGATAAGGAAGGTTCAGGTATGGGGTTAGCGACCCCGACCCCGAGGAAATCCAACTAGAAAAAATTATTCACCAATGGTCGTCAGTCTGTGCTTCATTAGGAGGTGACAGACTTAAGTAAGTTTGTTCTTTGAATTGGATGCTGTTGGTTGTGGAGCGTTTGCTGTTCTTCATGTCTACAACAAACATCATCAGCATCAAACTTTAAGTTGAAGAAGTGAAGTCTTCGAGTTTATCCACCTATAACTACACCTAGCTTGTCCTGTTGACCTTGATTTTGATTGGTTGTTGTTGTTGACCATCAACTTGTCATTGTCAGAATGTTTATTTTCAATTGTATCCAAGTTATATATGGAGAAATTTGAATACTTCAATTATCATTGACCTGACGTTTGTACTGATTGATGATATCTGTTGTTCAGATGAAGAAGAAGCACAATGAAAGCCTCACAACCATCAACATCCAACTCACAGAACGAAACCCCCAACAATACTATATATGTTAATTGTCAGTTTCATGTTGAAAGATACTTCTCACATTATAGAATTTGACTGACAAGTTCAATAATCTACAAGGTGAATGACTGGTTTCAAAAAAGTTATTGATGAGTATCAGCTAATGTGAAACACAAGTCAATCGAGATTCCATTTTGACTATCTTACAATGTTTCTAAATTGATCAATAGAATTCGGTTAACATGGAAGACTAGCATTGACCAGTAACCGATAGTCAGTCATTGGTTGAAATGTTGGCTATGTCTGATAGATATGTCTCATTCATGAATCATGTGATTTGGTTTCGTGTGCTATTACGGGTTGAAATGGTTGAGACATGTGCTCTGACGTATGCCCAATCACCAACTGCCTGGATGAGCGATGATTTGTGGTGTAGGAATAGGTTGAAAGAATATCAAGGGCGGCCAAACCAAAACATAGCATGAATTCATGAAGAGTCACTGGCAAGTGGACTGAGTCATGTTGGTAAGTGTAGACTACCTGGTTGGGGTCCGCGAGATGATAGTAATCAATGGTTAAAGACCTTGAATAATGACACGGCTCAAAACCGTTTTCAATGCCACAGATGCATCCACTCTTTTTTTTCTCTCAAATTCTAATTATGTTGACACTCACGTCATATACTACTTATAAGTAGCTCGTAACACACTACTACTAATATGGGATTTGAACTGATAATTGCGTCTCTGTGTGCTAATGGGGTATGTCTACCAAAACTTATGTCAACAGGTATGAAGTTCTACGTTGTAGCTGACTGACTGACTGACTCAACATTCATTCATCTCTAGTGTTGAATGTAATTTATCAGTGAGCCTGAGAAGTTGTTTACACACCAATCAAAGTCACATGTTCTAACTGGATTCATATTTTTACACATTTGAAATCATCAATCAACCATTTTTAGATAACCACCATTAGAAACCTAGAAGCACTAGCAGGCCGTTTCGTCCTGGTATGGGACTACTCATCAGCAGTGTGCATCAACGACTCCTACACCTTTCAGGATTCGAACCCGGAACCTTCGGCATTGTAGGCGAACGCCTTACCATCGGATCACTGTGCTGGCCAGCATCCAACGGTGTTACTGTCTAACTATGATTGATCTAAGGATTTTGCACGACCTCATCCTTAATTGTCTTTGGTAGTTACTGCCTACACCCAAAACAGGGTTGAACTGCTCCACTGGTCACGCCTTCTCAACTAGAACTCCAAGAATTTCCTGACGAAGCTAGTCATATTTCCTGTTTCCCTCTTCTTACAATCAATTAAATCAAATCATCTTATAAAATTATCTCATTTCCTAATAATATAAACTTATATATATATATATATATTTTTTCTCATTATATAAAACATTTAAAAATTATTATAGATACACTGAAAAAATATATAAATACTACTAATAATAATAATAACTTTTATCCAAATGATGACCTCAAATAGAATAACTTTACAAAATTTTAATTTTGTTTATCTGTTGTTGTTGTTATTATTATTATTATTCAATGTACAATAATGTTCAATGTACAATAATGTTCAATGTTCAATCATGTTCAATAATCAAAATACTACTAATAATAAAATAAACAAATTATTGAAAAAATATTATTTTTTTTATTTATTTATTTATTATACCAACAATTGTAGATTTTTTTCTCTCTCAACTTGAATAATTAAATCTAATTATTTATTTACTAACTAACTAACTAATCGAATAATTATCATTATTATTATTATTATTAATTTTTTAATAAAAATAATTAATAAATTTATTACAAAAATAATTCAAATAAATATATATATATATACAAACTTCATGCAGTGCTACATGTACAAAAAAATGTATAATATTCATATGTGTGTGTGTTTGAGTGAAGTGTGTGTGTGTGCGTGAGTGTGCGTATGACTGTGAAGATGTTTAAGTTTGTAGGGTTTTTTTTTGCTAAAAAACAAAATTTTTTAGTTATGATGACCGCTATGAAAAAAATATTATTATTATTATTATTATTACTATTAATATTATTATTATTATTATAACGTGTATTCAATTAAAATATCATATGATTTCATAATTTTAATACTCTGGTTATTATTATTATTATTTCAGGTAATTTTTGATGATGACTAGAGAGAGAAAAAAAATGGTATGGAGAATTGATTTATAAAAAAAAATAAATATTTTTTGTATTGATTATTATTTTTTTATAACCGTTTTACACGAGACTTCAACTCATCACACTTGAAACAGCGACCTTGATCGGTTAATATGATGATCTTTTAGTATTCCATGGTTTGCCGCCACAATATGCCGCATTACCGCCTCAGTCATCGTTTTTTTTGCACGTTGGTCCGCCATCGGCATGGCATTTACCCATCGTGTGGCGTGTTCAGTCATCATCAGCAGGTACTGGTTACCACTTGTCGTCTGTGGGAACGGTCCCATAACATCTACTGACCACAAATCACCAACTGCTGTTATTGGGACTGATTGTAATGGCGGTCGTATGTATCGATCCCATTTCATTAGTTGACATCACTGGCACGCTAACACATATCGTGTAACATCGTCTCTTATAACTGGCCAGTACTCACTTTGTTGCAGTAAAATCAGTTGTCCTTGTAATACTTGTGTGCGCTACCTGGTGACATTCATGAATCATCTCCTGGCGTAGATCTTTTGGTAAAATTTTTGAAATGTATTTTGTTATGTACACTTTGAATGACATTAACATGTTATTTTGATATGTTTGAATGTCACTATGATGAGTTTGCCTTAGTTGGTAAATAAGAGTGAGAGGATCGAGGAGACGGGGTGACACGATAGGCTGTTCTAATCCGATTGTCCCTATCTCTCCCTTCATTGAGTGAGAGAAGAAGACTTGATATGAAGTAGAATATGTATTCTACAAACATCTAGAAAGTACGAGGTCCAAGTCCTGAAGAGGATCAGGATCTCGGAATAAGGATCCGGATCCCGTTCCAGGACCGGGTCATAAAACGTTACAGATAATGCATATTTATACAGTTAGGTTGAATAGGAAACAACATTTGAAGTCTGTGACATTGATAGTTATACCACCATTAGAAGAAACCCGTAAGCACTGGAAGACTGCCGTTTCGTCCTGGTATGGGATTCATCAACTGTGCTCATCTATGACTCCTGCTACTCGCAGGATTCAAACCCAATACCTTTCGTCTAGCACGCGAACACTGAGTCATCCGACATCTAACGGTGTTAATATCTAATTTCGATCAATCCACGATCATGTTGCACAACCTCATTCACTGTTTTCGGTGAGTAGTGCTTCACACCCGAACAGGTTTCGATTCCATTGAACAACACTTCCCACCTACAACTCGGATAAGATTCCTCACGGAGCTAGTCAATATTGAGCATAGGTAGTTTGAATTATGGTGTTGTGGTGACTGTCAATTTTCTTTTTGAAATCGTGAATTGATCAATGTTAGACCACACCATTAGAAACCCGTAAGCACCGGAAGACTGCCGTTTTATCCCGGTATAGGACTCACCAGCAGTACATATCCACGACAAAAGACCTTTCGTCTAACACGCGAACGCCTAACCTTTAGACCACTGTGTCAGCCAGTATCTAACACTGTTAATGTCTAACTTCGTTCAATCCACGATCATATTGCGCAACCTCATCTACTGTTCTCGGCAAGTACTTCTTCACACTCGAACGGAGGTCGAACTCCACTGGTCACTACTTCTCACTATAGCTCAAAGAAACTTCCTCAAGGAGTTAATCACTAATGAGCACATATTACTTGATGACTAATCCCAATACTTATAACAAAACGATCGTCTTTCAATTACTTCCAATCCAACAATACAATTCACATGTATATATATATTTAACTTCAACCTATTTAATCTTCATAAACCAATAACAAATGAATTAAAATTCAAACTTACTTGTATATAACTATCTAATTCATCAGATGGAATTTGATGTATTTCACGTGTATCATGTTTAATTTGTATTAAATATCTATGCATTACTTTCACATCTGAACGTGTTTTTCTCAATGTATTATGTACAACACCATTAATATGTATTGTACTACTACTACTACTAGTTGGCGTATGAGTAGTACTAGTAGTAGTCGTAGTAGTTGTAGTTGTCGTCATACTAGTATTAGTAGTATTAGTAGTATTCATAGTTGACTGTACTTGTTGTTTGTGTTGGTGGTGATGATGGTGATGTTCTGGTGTGGAACATGATAAACTTTGATCATACAAGTCATTCGACAAATTATTATTATTATTACATGTACTATTGTTTGTGTATTGATGAGTTGAATCATTATCAAAATAATGATCATATGAAGAAGGCATCATACATTGATCTAATTCCAATGTACCGGTAGTTGTAGTAGTCGTAGTAGTCAACGTGTTCAATGTTTCATGTTCACTATTCAATTTCTCAAATGAACCGGAATTTTTTGTTGTATGATAAAATATTGAACCAAATGGTGTAGAATGTACATTCCAATGTGTCTCATGATTATTGATCATAGTAGTCGTGTTAGTATCGATCATAGTTGTAGTACTATTATTGTTTGGCTGAATGAATTCTCCGCCATGCGGTGACAATGACAAAGACGATGAGGATGTTGTTGTTGTTGTTGCTGTTAATGGGGGTGTTCGATTTTTATCATAACCGCTAGAATGTTCAATGTTCAATTTAAAATTGTTATTATTCAATGGTGAAGTAGTGAGATTATGAATTTCTGTGAATTGATTGATAAAGGGATTATTAGTAGTATTGTTATTAGTAGTAGTATAATTAAATAATGTTTGATTTTTTTCTAATAACTGTATTGTTTGTTTAGCATATTTTTGTAATAAAGATTCATTGTCATCTGATAGTAAACCATTATATGATGATTTCAATAAGGATAATGGGGATAAGGAGGAGGAACAAGCGACAGAATTAAGACTTAAAGCTGAAGGTGGTGGTGGTGGTGGAGGCGGCGGAGGCGGTAATGGAGGCAGCGGAGGTAGAGTAGGAGGCCATAACATTGGAAAATGTGGTAATAAATTGAGAAGTTTCCAAAAACTACTGTTATTATTATTAGTAGTATTATTATTTTGATCTGTTAAAATTCGAGAGAAAAAAAATACAATAGAAATAAGTAATGCATTATGACTGAAAACAAATTGAAATCTTTAGTTAAATATGCCTTTCGGGTACAAGACCGAAGGTCCTGAGTTTGAATACTGCGGGGTGCAGGAGTCGTGGATGTTTACTGCTGGTGGGTCATATACCGTGATAAAACGGCAGTCTTCCAGTGAAGATTTCAAAAAGAAAATTGAGAGTCTCCACAACACTATAATTTAAATTACCTGTGCTTACTAGTGACTAGCTCCATGAGGAATCTTATCCGATTCCTAGTGAGAAGTGTTGATCAATGGAATCGAAAACTGTTCGGATGTGAAGCAATGCTCAGTGAAGACAATGTATGAGGTTGCACAAGAATGTGGATAGATTGCAGTCAGACATTAATACCGTTTGATACAGGTTGAGGTTAGGTATTTGCGAGCAAGACCGAAAGTCCGGGGTCCGATTCCTGCGAGATGAAGGACTTGTGGATGCACACTACCATTGATGAGTAGTTCTATACACTGGGATGAAACGGCAGTGTTTCAGTGCTTCCAGGTTTCTTCTGATGCTGTGTTCTAACATTGAGTGATTCATGAGTTCAATAAAGTAACTCAACAATCTGTTATGCTTGTCCATTGATATACTTGAATACTATTACGAGTTTACCTTAGTCCAGTAAACGAGTGTGAAGATAAATGATGCAGTGACACGATAAGCTATTCTGATTCGATTTTCATCGGCCATGCTGTCCATAGGAAGAAGTCTTGATATGGCGTAGAAAGTGTATTCGACAAGCATCCAGAAAAGATGAGGTCGAGAAGCACACAAATCGAGTTTATTTATACATGATAGAAATGTTCTTGGGGGAGCCAAAAAACTAGCGTACTAAAATAACACATTAACTAATAACAGTCAAGGAATTTCCGAGTGGGGAATGCAAACTGAAGGTCAACTAAGCAACTAATGCGTGAAAACATATAAAATCCAAAATTAGGACTGTTTTCAAGTAAGTTCTGAGGATCTAACGTCCCCAACACAATCTCCGCAACCCCGTAATGCAATACAAATATACATATCTTTTAAATATGATGACGATCTAGTTTCATGCCTGTGGAATAAAGTCAGAGGCTTGAGTAAAGAGAAAAATAACATAGTAACCAGAAAAAGATAAAAAATTTTTGAAAAATTTAATTAGAATCCTTTTTGTTAACACTGATTATTAATAATTTTATTGGCAATAATATTCTTGGTAGGGAAAGTGATCTAGAGGTTAGGCATTTGCGCTTAAGTTCGAAGGTCTTGGGTTCGAATCCTTCGAGGTGCAGGAGTTGTGGATACGCACTGCCTTTTGATGAGTACCATAACACCAGGATGAAACTGATGGTTTTCAGTGCTTCTAGGTTTCCGATGGTAGTATCTAACAATAACTGATTCATTATTTCAATATATATGCGTACATAACTACTACTGTGGTGTAAGCTACTTACATTCACATAAGTAGTAGTATATGGTATCAAACGGAAATCAAACGTCTAACAGCAAAAGATCAAGAAGGAAAGAATGAGAACAGAAGGCGATTTGTAGGTAACGTAAAGCGAACTGAAGTCTGAACAGTCTAAATGAAAAAAACACTGAAATCTGAAACAAATAACGATTCGTTTGTAAATGATGATTTCACGTAAAGGTTTTGTACAGATGTTTAACAACTCTGTAATATTCGCTTAAATATATAAATATGTTGATGTCCTTACCTGAGTTTTCGTGCACAACCGTACTACTACTCACACTACTACTACTTCTACTACTACTACTGTGGTGTGCGCTACTTATAAGTAGTATATGATGTGAGTGTCAACGTAAGCTGGCAGCAGAAGATGGGGGAAAAGATCAAGAAAGGAAGAGCGGGAACACAATGGGATTTGTATGAAACGCAAGAATAAGTGAAATGTCAGACAATGGATTGATGATGGATTGAAGATTTGCAAATTAACGAACGATTTACGATATGGTTTTCCTATTTTACTGAGTAACTGTAATTTTCGCTGAATACAATCCAGTTTCCCTCACCTGTGTTCTCCTTCACAACACTGATACTACTACTACTACTACTACTACTACTACTACTACTACTACTACTCCGTCTACTACTACTACTACTACTACTACTCCGTCTACTACTACTACTACTCCGTCTACTACTACTACTACTACTACTACTACTACTACTACTACTACTCACACTACTACTACTACTACTACTACTACTACTACTACTACTACTACTACTCACTCTACTACTACTACTACTCACTCTACTACTACTACTACTACTACTACTACTACTACTACTACTACTACTCACACTACTACTACTACTACTACTACTACTCACTCTACTACTACTACTACTACTACTCACACTACTACTACTACTACTCACACTACTACTACTACTCACACTACTCACACTGCTACTACTACTACTACTACTACTCCGACTACTACTACTACCGTAGTGAAGGAGAACACAGGTAAGGACAACCGAATTGTATTTAACGAAAATTACAGAGTTACTCATTAAAATCGGAAAACCATATCGTAAATCGTTAATTTGCAAAATATCAACTCATCATATCGAGCTGGACTGTTCCTGTTGCAAAACATCAATCCATTGTCACTCACTATTCATGCGTTTCATACAAATTCCATTGTGTTTCCGCTCTTCCTTTCTTGATCTTCCCGTATATTATGCTGCCAGACATTACGTTGACACTCGCGTCATATACTACTTATAAGTAGCTCACACCACACTACCACTACTACTACATGTCTTCTACTCCTCACAACATTCAAATTTGACACTCTCCGTCTTAGCATTAACTTTTAAGTGATCTAGTCTCATGCGTGTAAAATAAATTTAGAGGTTTGAGTAAAGAGAAAAAATAACACAGTAACCAGAAAAAAGATAAAAAAAAATTTAATTAAGAATTTTTCTATTATTAACAATGATTATTATTATTAATAATAATAATTTTATTGGCAACCATATTTATAATAACATTATATAAATTTGATTGATAGAGAAAAATTGAATGGTCATAGTAGTAATAGTAATAGTAGTAGTAGTAGTAGCAGGAGTAGTCAGAGTAGTAGTAAGAGTGATTTTTTTAGATTTTGTATAAAAATTGAATTAATCTGAATGTTATACACATCTATATGTATATATATATATAAGATATGTAAAGTGTAATAATTTTCACCAAACACTCTATCAATATCCGGAAATTGGTATCTTTCATTGTATAAGCCAATATTAACAAGAGGATAGATAGATAGATAGAGAGAGGGCGAGAGAGAGAGAGAGCTGTATAACGTATATATATATATATATATATATATATATCCCCATGAACTCTTGTTATATATATATATATATATCTTGAGAACACAAAGATAATAGACAGTTGGGATAAAAAGAAGTGAGGTGGATTCCAAATCATCATGATCATTCAGAATCAGGCTACTGATAATGACACCATGATGAGGACTTGGAAATTTTGCCCCCACCCACACCCCAACCCCCTAACCTCACTTTGCCCACAATAATTGGGAATACTACTGATAATAATATTAGTAGTAGTAGTAGTTAATAATAATAACCAAAGTAACAGGGTAGTTAATTTACCCAACATTTTTTTTTTCCTTTTTATTGTCTGTTTCATTTTTATTTCATATTATTATGTTTTAATAATAATAATAATAATAATAATAATAATAATAATAATTTAATTTAAGAAATAAAAATTAAATCCCTCAAAAATGAAGGAAAAAAAAATCCCAACACAACTTTAATATTTTCTCTAGTGATTGTTTATTCTTCTGATCTATGTATACATCAATATGAATTTAGAGGATTGATTGTTAGTTGGAAAAATATCATTTATACTACTAATACTACTTACGGATAATCAATTAATTAATAGATAAGATTACACAGAGGATAAGAACTTAACGTATCTATTATGTCCTTTGTATGTATGTAAGTCGAGATGTGCAGGTGTGTGTGTGTGGTGGGTATTATAAATACCATATATCTCTGTGTTTGGCATGACAAAAATGAAATCACATAGACGGAAGGATACAAGAACTTGAACCATGTTTTATTTAAAGACAATGAAATAGATTGTGGGCATATGACACATTCTGGTGGAAAATAATAGTAATAATAATTTATAATTGGAAATTATTCAATCAATCATTGTTAGGCCTATCCAGTGGCATTATGAGAAACTTGGAACGGAGCAGAAAGACCGATCGTAGGATGCCTGACCTGGTACAAGTGTGGTTGAAAGGGGTAGGTTAGGCGTTTGGGGGCGGAGGACTTGAAGGTTCCTGGGTTCGAATCCTGCGAGTGGCAGGAGTCCAAGGATGCTCACTGTCACCAACAGATAATTCCGTACACCAGGATGAAACGGGCGTCTTTCAGTGCTTGTGCGTTTTCGAATGGTGGTGGTCTAACAATGAGTGACTGTTGATTTCGATTAACAAAATACACTAATCTCCATAATTCTAATCATTGTTAGACCATCATTAGAATCCTGGAAGTACTGGACGGCCGTTTTTTCCTGATGTGGGACTCATCAGCAGTGAGTAAACATATGCAATATATATACATGATAGGATTGAGTTACTGAGTTATTGAAATCATAAATCAATCATTGTTAGACTACTACACTATTGCAAATGTGGAATCAACTGGATTCAGTGGTTTGGAGGTTAGTTTGTGCACACAAAAGTATTTACATTCATGTAGTTTTCAGTTTTGTAAATCAACACTGAATCTTCAATATAAACGAACGATCGTTATAATTATATTATGCGAAAATTATAAAATGTGCTCACTAATGATTGGGTTGGT